TTTTTTTAAATTTTAAATCCCTTTTTAATTTCGATTGAAAAAAACTTTAAAAAATTTAAAATCTATCAATCTTTTACAATTCAGTACTTGATAATTTTAGTCAAAAACAAAGACGAATTCCACTTATTTATATATTTTAATTTTTTTTTATGGTTTGACTAAATAAAAATAAGTTTTTCTATTGCTACCCTAATAGTAAACTTGACGCTTCGTCACTGCTATAAACATATATTAAAATTAAGTTGTTATTAAAATTAATAACTTTTATCATATACGGTATCATTTTTCTAACATTCATTAGATTGAAAATTCCTCTACAATTTTCTGTGCATCAAAACCATATAAACAGGCAATTTCAGATATCTGGGAAATTTCTATATTCTCAATGTTTAATGATTATATTGATAACTGGGTAAAAATTATCATTTTTATATCTAAAAAATAATATTTTATTTTTAAAATAAACTTTTCTTAACTTCTCTTTTTATTGTTTAATATAATTATAAAACTTTGTTTGAACCAGTTCAACGTAAAAAAGATCTATACTTTATCTTAAGAGGGTAGTTGGGTATCAATAGTATCTAAGGAATTTGCTTCATCTTCATACTCTTAAAGGGGGTCGATTTCTTGGCCACCGGATAATGCTTTTTGAATTTGAATATTATATGCTTTAAAAATATGGACGATTAACCATAATATAAATTTTCTTTCCTTTTGACCATCGCCGACAGGAATCAGTTAATTTTCATCCATAAATATTGGAGACCATATATAATTGGCCTATTATAAAATTATTTAGTGATGCAGATGTCACACTACATCCATTTTACCCCGTCCATGTTTACGTTGAGATATGTTAGTCAGTTGTGAATACTGCATCCTTAGGAAGTCGATTTACTCTTAAAAAGCCAGTTTCCCCTGTTCTTAAAGCATTCTATTAATAAACTACTAAATATCTTGCGAAAAATATGGAAGTATTAATGGAAGCGTATTACATAATCTTAAAACTAAGCTACCTCACACATTTTAGAAGGAATTTGGTATATTCATAATTTTAACTTAGTTGAAAACAGAATTATAAAAAATTTTTCTCGTGGAATAAAATATAATGGCAATGCTAATTAATTACTAGACTCAGATGTTTTAGAATATCTTTTTAGTAACAAAAACGCTTATTTTGACTTAAAACAACATTTTAAAATTTTCTTTTTTCCACATAGATAACAATAAAATGGCCTTAACAAATTATTACTAGACTAAGAGGTTTTAGAACCTCATTTTACTATAAAATACTTTCAACTAGGCTTAAAACAAAATATAAAAAATTTTCATAATTATTTTTCCTCGTAAGGTAAAATATAATGGCAGTGGCTATTTACCACTAGACCCAAAGGTCTAAGAACATCTTTCTAGTTTCATAAATGTTAAATATAAAAATAAAATGAATAATATAAAAATAAAAGGAATAATATAACCTTTAAAATTTTATAACCTTAAAAAATTTACTTTCTTACTTATCCTTTTCTATATGTAAAAACTTTAAATTAAATTCTTTTTCTTCAACCTTAAAATAAATCTTCTTAAAATTTAAAATTCTTCTTTTGTATATATGTAAATAATTATAAAAAAATAATATATACATTATACAATAAAAATTGTAAAAGATATAGATATATAATTTAGATAAATAAAAAAGTAATTTAATTTTTTGTTTTTTTACACTACCCTCCTTGTTTTATCATGGAGGCAGCATAACTACTTCAGAGATTTTTTTAGATATTTTTCAAAAACAAATTTTAGATATGAATTTAGATACTGGAACATGGTCAAACTATATGAAAGAGGATTCTGGAATGTTATGCTTATTTAATTCTAATACACATAAGAGATGATTAAAATGGAAAAATGAAAAATAAATAAAATTTAAATAATAAAATCTCTAAAATATAAATAAAACAATATGGGACTATAATAATAAAACAAAATCCATAGATAAATTAGAAGATTATTTGATTATTATGATAGCAAAAATATTTTAAGCTTAATTCATAATTTATAAGATGTTTTATTTTTGGAAATGGAAGCAATGGTCCCACCGAGAAATGAAAGTTCAACTTATAAGGAAGCAATGTTTATATTAATATGTTTATGTAATTATAAATCGGTAATAGAGATAAAAGAAACATCTAGATCAAATAATATATCTAATTATTCTAATAAAAATTTTCAATGTCAAAATTATAAAAATAATCATAATAATAATTATTATCGTGACACAGATAATTATGACAACAGAAATCAATATAAAATTTAATAATAATAATTATTATGAAAATAGAAAATTAGATAATAAATAATATAAAGAAACATATTACAATAAAAGGCATGATCATAATTATAAATCTCATAATAATAAAAACTTGATTAAAATAAAATCATGTAAATTAGTACCAAATGTTAAAAAAGAAATAGATTCTTATAAATTAAAAGTATAATAAAATTTAAAGAAATAATTGTGATTAAAGAAAATAATGATATAAACATTAAAGAAAATAATAAAATAAAAAATTTAAAAAAACTTTGAAAATAAAGAAGTAAAACAAATATTATAGTTAAATATCTTGATGCTAAAAAAGTTTTCAAGAATGTGATTTGGAGATCATATGTTAAAAATGGAAGACGAAAGAAATTTTTTTTATAAAGAACAATTTGTAGATAAATTATGATACGAAGAAATTGTTTAAATTGTAAAATAAGTGAGTATAATTCAAAGTTTAAAAATAAAAATAATTGAAATTTAATAAAAATAAAATTATTAAAACGCGACAATTTAAAATATTTTATGATTCAATAATTGATTCTTATTCTATGAATTATTCCGATATATTATTCTTTCCATTATCTTTTCAATTATTCCAAAATTATTTTATTCGAGATAAATTGATCATAATAATAATTTTCAAACAATGATAACTAAATATAAATGATAATAAATAACGAGATGAACAAGCTAATGTGATGATGTTGATCAGGCGACTGATTAGACGATCAGGATAACATGCTACGAACAAACCAATGAAAAAGATATGACTGAGGCTAAACAACGAACATAATATTAAATGAAAATTCTACCACAAAGCAGAAAAATATCTAGAGGGGGAAGAAGTGAAGAAAGTGAAGATCAAGTTCAAGTTCAAAAATCACAAGTTCAAGTTCAAAATTTACAAGTTCATAGTCAGGTTCAAAATCGGAATTATGATTTACGACCTAGAAAAAAATAATTAATATAAATAAATAAAATTTTTGATAAAAAAAATATATAAAAATTTGAAAGCGAAATGGAAATGGGAAGATAGATCAAATACAAACAGCTAATCAACAAATGTTCAACAAACGACGATTCAACGGACAAACAAACTAAAGCCATACTAACAAATGACTAAAGGTGCAATAGATAAGATGATCATCTGAGGACTGAAGTCACTTAAAAAAAGAGGGAAATGTTAAACATAAGAATAAAATGAATAATATAACCTTTAAAATTTTATAACTTTAAAAAATTTACTTTCTTACCTTTCTTTTACTATTTGTAAAAACTTTAAATTAAATTCTTTTTCTTAACCTTAAAATAAATCTTCTTAAAATTTTATAAAATTGTTTTTTTGTACATATGTAAATTATTATAAAAAAATAATAAATTTATATATAGATTGAAAATTGTAAAAGATATCTATATATATAATCCTCAAAAAATGTCAATCAAATTTAGCTAATAGTTTTCTTTTAAATATTATTTGTCCAATCAAAATGATTATAGCAAATTTGATCAATGGTAATCAACGTGAAAACTAAATCATTCATTCACAAATCACTTCCATAAAAACCATACCACATCACTCTATGTAATAATATCAAAAATATATTAGTATTAAAAATTTAACTCAAAACTGTTTTTCAAATAAGAAAAAAATAGCTTTCCTAAAAACATGCAAAAAGGAGAAGAAAAGTAATCATTTATTACACCATTGTGGTGAATAATAAGTTTATTTTAATATTATATTTAATAAATAGATGGCGTTAAATAATTGAATGCAAATTGTTACTTATATTTATTATCAAAAGCATTTATTATTAAAATTTTAAAATTATTAACTGTATTATATTATATAACTGTCAAATATGCCTTTAAAAGTCACATTTTACCTATTATTTTATAAATAATTATATATTATAAAGGATTATAAACTATTTATTCACTTACTTTTTATAAATAAATATCTTATTCTCATTTGGATTTGGACCTTAAAAATAATTTTAGGAAGAGACATGATAATTAAATTTAAAAATCAAAATGTTGAACTCGGCTAATTTCAATATTAAATTTGTTAATTTTCAATTAATAAATGATTATATTTATTTAATTAAAGTTATATAATAATTTAAATAATAAAAGTCAATTAAGCTTCAACTGTTAATGCTAAATTAATATTTAGTGAGTGATATTGATATATTTTTAACACAAAATTTGATTATCTAATAATTAAAATAGTGTTCATTTAAGAAAAATTTAGATATATTAATTTTTAAATAATAAATTAAATATTTATATTATTCAATATAATTATACAAGAAATCGTTCAGGGAGGCCATTAAAAAATTTATTTTTAGTTCAAGGGGATATTAAAGAGCAATAAAAATAATTTTTTTGCTTCAGGGGGCTCGAACCCCTGCACGCCCCCCCCCCCCCCCCCCGAGCGACGCCACTGAGGCAGACCCAGCAGGACGACCCATCAAGCCAACCCAGCAGGCCGACCCAGCAGATCAATCCACCCAGCCGACCTTATGAAACCCACTGTATCGGGTCGTGTCTGATATATGACCAAACATGTGGCTCTTAGGGTCGTTTTTATCGACTCAAAAGCAATTTAACAACTCTACTGTCAACACACGTGACAAATCATGTCATATTTTATGTTCTTTATATATTCTATTAATTCGTAATGGATAAGAAAGAAAATCCTCCTCACAGTAGAATATTCATAAGTGGATCCTTTTGCACTAATGAGGAAATTTTCCGTAATGAATATCAAAAATTTGGAAAAATTGAATGTATTCAATTTATCAGACATAAAGACACTGGGAAATCTAAAGGTTACATAATACTTTTTTTAACGTTATCACAGAAAATTTTCAGGAGTAGCATATATAACATTTTCAAAAGCTTCAGAAGCAGCGCTTGCAATGGAGGCCACTAATGGTGAAAATATCCTAGAATCCATTAAACCTTTAAACGTAATATTTAAAGTTAAGCAAATATAATATAATTAATTAGGTTAAAATTGCCCAAGACAAAACAGAATCCAATATATCGAAAAATGCTAACGAAGATGATCGAATAATGAGGTTATTTATTAAAACTTTTGGTGAAGATGAAGATTCAATTAGAAGACATTTTTCACAATATGGAAAAATTAAGAAAATAGTTATGTTAAAGCAAAAAAAAGGAAATCGTGGTAAGGGATTTGCTTTTGTTAAATTTTATAAAGCTTCAGATGCTGCAAAAGCTATAGAAGAATGTGATCCAAGTTCTATTAAATATTCTATTAATTAATATATAAAATTTAGTATATAAAGCTATATTTGGTAAACTTCAAGATACTCAGGTAACTGAAAAAATATTAAATAAAACAAAACATGGCAATGACAACCTATCCAATATGAGATCAAATTCTAAATTTCATCACAATTATCAGCAATTAGGTTTAAAACAAAGTCACAATCAAGACTAATGATTTTTTGTACCTTCTTAATTATACACAATCTATATTGCTGTTTATTTAGTTTTCTAAGGACATTATAGAATATATTAAAGATCTAAAATTTATTTCAAAAATTTTAAAACAAATGTTCTTGAAATTTTATTTTGGCCATATTTTTATTATTCTATTAAAATGATTATTTGTTTTTCGATAAATGCTTTGATGCTAAAGTAAAATTGGAGGTTACAAAATTTTTTATACTAGTATACATGGTTATGAAAATTTTGTTTTTGAATTTTGATTTTGTTAATTATTTTTTGATTTTCTAAATTTTAAAGATGTTAAATACTGTCAATCTTTAAATTAATAAATTAAATTATCATTGACCTACAGGCCTGCCTGATAGCCAGGAATTAAAAATAAATATATTAACCTAGCCCAGGCTCAATTTTTAATAAATTTAAATTATATTAACTAACCAGTTAAAAAATCTTATGGATCATTTAAACATTTATTTGTTTCTTGATTCTTATATTCCCTTTTGTAATTATTTATATAACACTTATATTAAGAATTACCTAAATTTAAGAAAAACCAAAGCCATTCTAGAATGCATTTTGTTGAGGAAGTCTGGAATATCAGACATATTTAAACCTGCTTGGCTAGAAATGGATAGTGCAGATGGTTGATTATTTATTAATATTATTTAATTATTATTTTTGGATTATGTTGCAGTACTATAATGGTTTAAATTATTATTGCAATAATAAAAATTTTTGTTTAAAAAAATCTCTTGATTATATAATATAGAATAAAAAAAATTATATTGCATCATTGTTTTAAAAAAAATATATGAAGTTCTAATTTTTAACATAATTAATTTTGCTAAATCACAACAAAACCAGCCATATAAAATATCTTAAAAAATGTAATGATTTTTTTTATTTAAAACAAAAATATAGAAAATGATAACAGCTCTAAACTATTTGCAGCAAAACATAATACAAAAAATTAATAACTAAATATAGATTGATAGAAAAAAAATGAAATTTTGCAGATCCATCAAAAACATTTTCTGAACTTGTTGAATTGGCTGGAATTGCTAAATAATCTTTAGAATTTTTTAGTGTCGTCCTTCCCTTAAAATAGTAGGAAGCATGCTAAAATGGATAAAAAATAGAGGCAACTTTTTAAAATAGTTTATATCATACCATTTCATATGTATATAATAGCTATTTAGAAAGTTACGTCAAATCGACCAAAAAAATGAAATTTTTGGCCGACCATCTCAAAAATGAATGAAACTTGGTATGCTAGTTATTTATGTTGTAAATGTTAATAAAATCAGAATTTTAGAGTGCTAGCTCAACCAGATCCAAAGATATACAGCTTCAAAATCGAAAATTGCGAAGTGCGTGATTTTATTTAATCTTGTTATTTTAAAAAATATTTAAAATAGAGTTACATATATCATTTTATAGCCCTTAAAATTTTACGTTGGAAAATATAAAAAAAAATTCAAGTGTTTTCTTATTTCCGGTAAAAATAAAAAATTAACATTGTTGGGATGGGATTTTTTTGGGGTGTTGATTAAAGATCTGCAAAGTGTTAGGCCCAGCTCGTACCCGGCCCGAGCGTAATTCTATTTAAAATAGTTGGTTTTGGGCTGGGTCAGGCACGGCCTAATATTAAAAAAAAAACTCGGGCCGGGTCAAAATTTGAAAATTTTATAAAATATATCTAAATTTATCAATTTTATATTGAATTTTTTATGTAAAATAAAAATATTTGTTTTTATTTATTGAAACTAAACGTCATATAACATGTCTTGAGTAATTATAAAAATTAATTTCTATATTTAAATAAATTCTGGCCAGGCTGGGTCAGTAAATATTTTTAAAAAAAATTTCGAATTCTGGTAAGGAACTTTTTTTAAAAAAATTTCGGGCCGGGCCGCGCTTGAAAAATTAGGCCCGATGCAGATCCTAGTGTTGATATCTTTACATTAAACGATTTAATAAAAAATCTCGATAGCCATTTTTGTTTTTTTAATTTTATTTGAATTTTATTATTTGTATAAATAAAAAATTGTAATATAGATGGCGTTGTATTAAATTTTTTTTATAATATATAATTTTTAATAAAAATATGAATATGAATAGTATTGTGATTAAAATTAAAAAATTAATTGAGTATAACCAAGAATGATGTCCTGGGGCGATATGTAAGCAGGCAGCCTATACAGATATTATTTTATTGACACTATATTGTAAAATAAACATATTTTAAAATTTTATATTCAAACTATTATAATTTTCCGCTTATTAATAGAAATTCCTAAGGCCATAATTTGTAGATATATCCTTTCATTGTTGTGGATCTACTATCGTTATTATAAAAAAATAACGATTTTATCGGCTTATTTTATTTTTTTATTCCTATCATCGCTACCAATCAATCATCATATATTTCAAAACTTAAACATTTTTAACAACCAAATGAATTTATGATAATTTGTGATTTCTCTAAAAATTATGCATTTACAATCCAAGACACTGTTTAAGGATTCCACTGGAATAATAATTAAGCCACTATCCATCCTATGATAGCATATAATAATTATGTCAATTTAGAAAACCTTAATAATATGGTAATATCAGAGTCACTTCAATATAATGTTATTGCAGTACATTTATACCAGACTAAAATGATAAAATTTTTGACCAATCAATTCAGCAAAAAGCCAAACAAAATATATTACTGCTCTGACGGATCAGCTGCACAATATAAAAACAATTTTTTTTATAAATCTGTGTTATCATGAATCAGAAGTGTAGCAGCTGAATGGCATTTTTCAGCTTCATCCCATGGAAAAGATCAATGTGACGGCCTTGGCGGAACATTAAAAAGATTAGCAGCACGTTTAAGCCTTCAGCGCATCAGTTCTGGGCACAATTTAACGTTGATTTATATCAATTTGCAAAATAAAACATGCCATCAGTAAATTTTACATATATAACCAACGAGCAATACAATTTACAAGAGATTAAACTACAAGATAGATTCAATTTAGCTCGTCCCATTCCAGGAACTCGGGAAATACATGCTGTATTTCCTTTGAGTTTAAGTAAACTTAAATCAAAAATATATTCATATGCAGAGGACTTTCAAATTAACAATATCTCAAATGCCGATAATTTGTCTTTTGCAACTTGTCTTTTGCCGATATTAAAGGATTCTAACATGTGTTTATGACGATTTTTGGTGGTTAGCCATAGTACTAAAAATACTGAGGAGATATATATTTCCTTTTTACATCCCTATAGACCATCACCATCCTTCTTTTTCCCACAATTGTGGAGAAGATATGGTTACCCATTAATCACATAATAACAATAGTAGATCCTATTACAGCGACAGGACATAACTACCAGTGTTGTTAAACGCTACTTTTAAAAGTAGCGCGCTATCGCTGCCACTATCGTTTTCAAATGAGTAGCGCGCTATTAGCTACTTTTTACGCTATTTTGATTTTATTTTAAAATATTTTTTACGTAACTTTATTTCCACAAATAAAATATTGGTATAAAAACATGACTATAATTTGTTACATATATATATTTATAATTTAATTATTATTGCACTTTAATAATAATAACATTTCGGTACTGTCACCCCCAAATCTAGAGCGAAGATCAGAAAATATAAGCTTTGTCATGTTCGGCACTAGCTCTTGAGAGCAACGCAGTATTAAATTTAATAAACACACTTTTTATATGAAACAAATCATCAAAAATATTAAAATGAGTATTTTTAGATTAAAAAAAAGGCATCTAGAGGTTCAATAATATTATTATTTATTTCAAAAAAATCGTCTATGGAAGGCCACGGTTTCGATCTTGCTATAGTATTAGTATTGTGGTTAGGCATGACATTTTTTAACGTTACCATCAGTCTATCAAGTTGCTCTTTAGATTCAGTCAAATTAAGTATGGCCAATTTAACTGGAAACTAGGATGAACGATAGCAGCTATTACATTATCATCATCATACAGATCTGGAAATCTAATTTATATAAATCGATTGTATTTATTATAAAAAAGGAAGAATACCTTTTTAATTTTCAAAATTTAAATTTATCTGAGATTTAGATTCATATAAAAAAAATATTAAAATAGCATTAAATTATGGTAAATAAAGATTTTAAAAATATAATTATTATGCACAAGGTAATTAATAATATATTAATTTTGAATTTTATATTAATACTATATATTAATATATAGATATGTTGAAAATTAAGCCAATTTAAATTATGGCTAATCAAGCAATAAATCATTTATTTTATATAATTATATAATAGAAAATAAAAATAAAGTTTTGACCTTTTCTCAATGCCTTTCATAAACTCTATCAGGGTTGGCAAAATTCCAGATTATTGATTCGTTTGAGCTTGGTAATTAATTACTCAGTTTGGGAACATAATATCCCATGATCATATTATCTTGCCCTTCCAAGATTTTAAATGAGGCAGCAACATATTGCATAACCTAAAAAATTAAAATGGTTAAATATAAAATTATTTATTAATTAAAAATACTTCTGTATATTCTTTAATAAAAGTATGTTCCTCCATATCAAAATACTGTATTCCTATTTGTTCCAATATAAATTCATTTCCATTTTTTTCTCATCTAGAAACAATGCTAGTTTCATAGCATTGTAAACACTATTCCATGTAGTGTTTGGTGTCAATAAATAACGTCCTAATTTTTTTAAATACTTGTAATATTCATAACAATAATATTGAAGATGAGAACAATTAAAGGAAGAGGATGATGAAATAATGGAGTTTGAGATAATTGGCCTTCAGGAAATTAGACCCATTTTCTGTAATCTTACAAATCTTGTTCTGATTTGTGTAAGACATATGGATTTCTGAAATAATATTTGCTAGTATGTCTTAAGTCTGACAGCCAATTATTCTTTTTAGAGCTAATG